ACTGCCTAGATTTTAGTGTGGACACACCTAACCATATATTGTCACACTGCTAGATTTTAGTGTGGACACACCTAACCATATACAGTTCCACTGCTATAGTTTAGTGTGGACACACTAATCATATACAGTTCCACCGCTAGATTTTAGTGTGGACACACCTACAACCGACAGCACAGCACTACACTACACTACACTTACAAGCATGCGGCACAACACAATATGTAAGAAGCAAAGCGACAACTATGACTGCACCTTTAACTATAGCTCTTGACAGCTGGCAGGTTTTAGTAGGAATCCCTACACGTACCTACTATTACTCTCACAACTCTGGGGACTGGAGTAACTCGCTGCTTCTTGTAAATGCATTAGCATGCTTAACTGTCAGATAGAGAGGAAATATAAGATAGACAGAAAGAAGGATTAATATGAAATGGGATTCTCCTTGAATAAGGGTTAAAGTTAAAAAGTCAGTTATTATCATGGTGTTACCATGAAGACCATATTAGTTCATATCATTGTACCAAGATGCTTGAAAAGGCCATTCCAGTTTGTATTCACACCCCTTGTTAATCAGATTGCAATGTACTGTAAAATGACTAATTTTCACTGGGTTTAAATTTTGCTGATTTACAGGCATATTCAGTAGGTATTAAATTCACGATTTTATCATTTAGATAATGCGTTCTATGCTAAATTTTACAGATTCACTGGGTTTTAATTTAGCGCATTTTCTAGTCAACAAAATAAGCAAAATTAAAACCCTGTGAATAATTAACACTTTTACAGTAATCATATTAATTTCATGGTACAACATTTTTCCCATGATTCTTTCTTCATGCATACCATGTGACGCATCAACACATGGGGATACAAACCAGAATAGCCCGAATGTCAGAATGACAAATGTGTCAAAGGTCACCTGTGGGTTGAAAGGTTAATTTATAGAAAACATCATGGTATACAAAAGTCAACTTTGAGGTAAAATGCCAAACATCAAAGATGAAATGATGCATGATATTTTAACATTTATGATCTTTTCACCAAAATGATTGCATGTTAACTGTTGATCATGAGATGTTTAGAATGTCAACGTTTTTAGGAAATAAAAGTAAAGGTTTTGGTAAATAACCTTGAACCTACCAGTGGGTCACCTTCTGCATCACTTTGTGCACTTTGCGTTGATTTTCCACCAGTCTCCGATCGGTACCCCTCAAATCCAACATCTTCAGGTCGTAGGCGTAATAACGATGGCCAGTCTGAGGTACTCGGTTGTGACCATGGATAACTGTCTGTTACCCATTCAGCTGGGTCTTCCCACTGTGACTTACGCCCATACATCTGCAATCATAACATGCTTGTTGTTAGGGGTGTCAAGATGAGAAAGGGAAGTGAAGAGCTTGTAGATAAATGATCTGTACCATGTGTGGAATAGGTCACATGACACTAATACATGTAAATAGATTGTTTACATGAAAATGAAACATTGATGTAAATTGAAATACAGAAGACAACATTTCACAAGCATTGTCCTAATCTATTCTATTGTCTAATAATCTATTCAAAATAAATGTTTCAGGCAATGGTCCTTCTTTGTTGACATATAAAAATGTTTTTATTTTACTATACAACATATAGTTATTGTCCAGGTAGCTTTCGTCTATTATTTTACTGAATAAATCTTGCTCTGGACCTGGTATATATTGAATACATATATGGGTATCCTGGTTAAAATTTGAGACTACCAAAAACTATAAAATCAGTTTGTGAGTTAAACTTAATACCAAACCTTATTATTAGCGATCCTTATTTTCATTATAGATATAATATTTATAGTTATAGAAATATACATTACCTGCAAACCTTCCCTGACAGCTTCCAACAGGTATGGAACAATGGAATAATTCCAGAGATCTGTGAACCATACTTGTGATCCGGCTAGATCAATCGGACAGGAGAGGAAAAGTCTTGGACCAATGGTGACATCAGAAGAGTTATGCGTTTCTAAGAATTTGTTCAAATGTGACCAGACTTTTGGCATCCAGTCAATGATTTTGTTAAGGTCATTATTACGCTGTGATGTCTGGACTTCTGTTTCTATGAGTTTTCGCCTTAGATACCTTCCTAGGAAGCCTTTGACTGGTTCCATGTGATTTGCACATAACACCCACCTGAAAAAAAGAAAAAAAACATCAAAGATATGATGAAAGCAGAACAAAAGATTTCAAAATTGACTTTTATCAGAAGTGCTGAACACACAAAGTAATTTGTGTCATTTTCAAAATGAAACATTTTTGGAATTCAAAGATGCAGATGCTTTTTGCAAAGCTGAGTCCAACTGAGGATTTCCATAGATACAACATCTTCTTCGTCATCAAATACACAAGTACTTTCTAATTTTTTTTGTCAAAAAACGATTTTTATTACTAAAACAGAATTTACTGAACACTCAAACTGACAGCTTTAAGGTAGAATATAACTTAAAAGTAAAACTACTGTTTTTTTATTTTTACACATTTCATGTACAAAGATGAAGAAAATGAAAAAAAAATGCAGTTAGAAAGAAAATGGTAAAACATAGCACATTTTAGGGCACTATTAATTGTTTCCTATTGTATTTTGCTAAATGGCATATGGTGAAAAGACACACAAGTAGCAATCCAGCTTAAGACTAGACCTCTACCACTCTCAGAGAATAACTCCTTTGCTGAGGCTGTCATGTCTGCGGGAACTTTGAACATTAAGCAATTTCTAGTTTTCATAGTGAACACACAATAGAGAAATGGTGCATGATGGGATACACCATGGCCAGTTACAGAAAGAATACTAGATTTAAAAGATATACTGACCTGAAGTTGTGATGTAGTTGTAAATTTGTAGTTGAACAAGTGGCTTGGTTCATTGTTCCAATGATGTATGGTGAGACTGTATATCTGCAACTCAGGAACCCATTGAATACCTCTCCCAATGATCCAACGTGATGTAAATTGTCTAAAATAATTACACTTGGCAAATCACTGGCACTGAAAATGGAGATCAATAACAAAGTCAATATTGTGAAAGAAGTTGCCAATTATCTCTAGGCTAATTATACATACTCTTTATTTTTTGTTTTAATTCACAATATTTTGTTGTGAGTGGATCTGATTGGTTGATACCAATCATGTGACATGTCACTGTACACCTGATGGGTTGATATCAATCACGTGACATGTCACTGTACACCTGATGGGTTGATATCAATTATGTGACATGTCACTGTACACCTGATTGGTTAACACTGCTCATGTGATACTACTTCTCTGTATTACTTGGTTTCTTATTGGCCAGTATAGATCATGTGACATTTAATACAATGATTCTGATTGGAAGATTTCAAAATCGTTCTAGGAATACTCCTAGTGCAATTCCTATTGGTTGAGTTCAATCATGTGAAGGAGAATCCAAGAATAAAGATGAGGATTAATGATGTAATTCTGACTTACTTGCTTTCACACTGATCAGCAATATTTGAGAGATATTGTTTGAGTTCTTTACAAGATTTGTGATCTACATTGAATGTAGCAATAGATCCCTCACTTGCTTCCTTACCAGACCTTCAATAAAGAATAAAAAATACTATAAATTCACAAAATCCCTTGTATGCAATAATGTCAAAGACATCAGAAAACTCTGGCTCTCTGTGGCACGAGATGGATACCATAAGACAGTCTTAGTAAAATGTGTAGACTACATCATAGTATTCAGTAGCATTTCAAAAGCACCAATCAGCATGCTTCTTTCATCACAGGCGACCAATCAATGCACTTGTAGTAGCAGATGATCAGAGCATTTATTCAAAGACAAGCACTGATTGGTTGTTTGCTTTCATAATGTTTACTCATGAATATTCAGAATTCATAGTTCCAAAAATACGAGTTGAGGTGTTTGGCAAGAAAGAGCAGCATCTCTTTGTTACAGCTGTAAGTCAGCAAGTATTTGGGTTTATTGTGAGAAGTTAATTCTGTTAATGGGTTGATATCACAGCATAGCATCTTTTGTGTTTCCTAATTTAAATACATAATAGAAATGTTTCATAGAGCATGGTCTTTGTTAAAAAAAAAAAAAAAATCTTTGACCGCATTCTCTTGCTTAGATTATCCCGTGAAGACAGTTGAAGTTTCACCACTTCATATCAGAAATGATGCTTTGTTAACATAACAATGATAACATGTTTTTATTTTGTTTACCTTAGAACGATGTGTTCGGCAAGCTTCTGCGCGAGATATGTTTTACCTGTACCACTTGGACCGCATAAAATGATTCTTCGATGTTCCAGCAACAATGAAATGTATCTTTGCATGACACTTTTTGGAATTAACGTTTCAAACACTAAAGCATCACAGCTACCTTGTAGAACATCTGAAAGAATGAAGGAAATTGAAGTTTTAGGTATGCCTTTGGTACAGTCAAACATCAAAAAGCTGTTCAGTTTAGACAGGTTTTACCTCCATAAACAGAACTGATATCTCAGTCCCTCTACTGTTCAGTTTAGACAGGTTTTTACCTCCATAAACAGAACAGTCTGACAATCCTTCTACTTTTCAGACAGGTTTTTCCTTCTACTGTTCAGTTTAGACAGGTTTTTCTTCCATAAACAGAACCGATCTCTTAGTTCCTTCTACTACTCAGTCTAGACAGGTGTTACATCTGATTGTAGAGGTTTCTCTTTTTAAGTTGTCAGCAGTATCATCCTTCACGAAGTTCTCACTAAATTTACAATGAATGTCAATATACACTTGACATTATATATTATGTTACTTTTAGACAAACTTTACTCTCACTTACTTTTGAGATGTATTGTGATAGAATTGCTATCACCTACTAAGTATCCACATGGCAGTAATTCTGGAGGCTCGGCATCTGAAAGTCAAAATTAATTGTAATGTTAATTTACAAAAAATTTCAAACATATAAAATATTTAAAAAAATACACAGCTTCTAAAAGTCTTCTCTGGGATGTCGTTTACAGCATCCATTTTTTTACCAAATAAAGTATTTTGTGCAAAATGTCACAGGAAACCATCATTAAATATGATATCGAGCGATATAATAAACTTCAGCTCAAACAAGCTGGCTAAAGGCCAACAAAATTTACTTTGCTGACCAGTAATCTGGACATTTTATCCAAATTTCAATTTCAGCAGATAAATAATTAGAGGTCCAAACATTGAAATGATGAAATAAAAATTACCTTTCGTTCTGTGAATTTCTCCAACTTCGTAACTGAACACACTCTCTGCATTTAAGCCCAGGTTTGTCACTGGGTCTATCCGTAATACATATTCCTAGAATCACAAATAATAACAATGGAATTATTGAAAACTTTATGGTTTGCAATATGGTCATGTTTGGGATGAATTGTACCACTTCAGTCCACAATACACATATCAAAGTTGGGTCAAAACAATTAATAACTTTAGATAAAAATTAAATATATTTATATTAATATATTATTATTAGCATTTATGAAAAGTTGTTTTAGGAAATACAAAGTAATTTCCACAGAAAAAATAATTTGATATACTAAAGGGCAATTTTTAAAATGTTGGTAAAGATAGTTTCCGATTCAAATTTATTTTTTGTATTCATGATAATGCAACTAAATATTAGTTTCAGATGCATATTCAATATTCTAAAAGCATGGATTCATTTGGTTTACACAGAAATCCAACCTTAGTAATTACACCCACCTTAAATATTCTCTTGACAACATTATCCAGTGCATCCCATTTAGTTTTACTGCTAATACTCAATGTGCCTATTAGACACTTCTGTACTTTGTTACCCATAGCTTTACTTGGATCGAGATGACCGACTGACACGCCCACTATCACACGCCGGCCGTTAGTAGTCGTACCTGAACTATCATCAAGTAATATATCTGAAAAAAATAAACAGATTTGTTTAATAGTTGCATCAAAAACTGGTATTCTTGTAGTTTTCGCATCAGACTTATGACTGGCCGACCCAAGTTCGAATCCTAACTTATACTGAACATGAAAAAGGGTCGACCGCTACCCTGGGCGAGCCAATTCCACTGCCTGAGATTCATTCACTAAAGAATGCGATTTTGGGGGAACCTTGGTTAAAGTTGGCAGGTGCTTGTGTTCGACCGACCAAGACTTTTTTTGAGTCAATTATTAGGTGCAATCTTCTTACTGATGCATGCAATAATGAAAAGCCAAAATCTTTTTTGGTGTGAGAGTAAGAGCGAGTCAATATAATTTGTACAAATAACACAACTCTTTCAAATACCTAAGTTTAGAGTTTCTTCATTCATTCATTTATTGACATGGAAAGGGTGTCAATTTTAAAATAATATTTATTTTAGTGATATGTTTTCTACTTGATATAAAAATAAATGAAACTTACCCAAACTACCATGCTCTGAAGACATGCTGATCCTATGTGCATCTGTAATAAAATAAAAATAAAATGTCAGTAAAAAACAACACCCACAGCAACAAATTTAATTAGAGAGTTCATGCTGAGCTCAATAATAAAAGTACCAATAAAATAGTAACACTTTTCCACTCTAGAATGATGGAATACCTTAACCAATACAAAAAACAATAACGACGAGGACGACGACAACAACAACGACAACGCCGGACAGAAATTTTCCCCTTAATATACCTTTCCCTTCTATCTTTGATGTTACGGGCAAGGTAAAAACAATACACAGTTCATAAGTTTTCTCAGCAATGTCATCTACAGTGTCCATTGTGTTTTGATCTATGGTAACATGTCAAAAAGTGTTTTTGAAAGAACTATCATCGACACTATTTTGATATGGCCGATGTGCTTCATTGCTAGAGGGTGCAATTCATGATATCTTTCCCCTTACCCATTGATTCTCGACTGAATCTCTTAGATGAAGAGAGTGATATATCCGATAGCTGTGATGAGCTTGCACCCAGTGATCTTTGCACAATCTGTCGCTGTAGCCGTTCATTTTCTTGCTTCAATGTTACCATGTCATTCTAAAACAATTCAAAATATCATCAGATATCACCACACTTACAATGAACAGAAAATCTAGAGAGGCATTCCGGAAACTTTGCCAAGTATTTTCTGTGACTGGCAATCTGAAAGTCTGAAGAAGATTTGGGGTCTTGAACTATTAGAACCCTTATCTACATGTATGTAATTCGGCCATTTTGAATTTCAAAATTACCACCAGAGTAGTGCTTAGCGCTACAGGGAAATCACAAGTTGTTGTTTCCATGAAAAAATGTTTAGATGCGCCCCACTTTCTAATTGCTTTTTGCCATTTTTGTCATAGAATTTTTCATTCATAAAAATAAATTTATGATTAAATAGATTTGTAGTGTTTTTACCAGTTAGTGTTCATCCATACAAATCTTAATATAGAGCAGTACATCATGGGTATTTGAATAGAGCCTTGTGGGTAAATGAGCAGTGCATTGTGGGTAGATGAGCAGTGCATTGTGGGTAAATGAGCAATGCATAATTTTAATGCTAAACAAAAGATTGAAAGTGTACAATGATATCCCATGATTCCCTGCAACAATCACAAGGAGATACATCTATTCCTTCATAATAGAATTTACAAACTACAACACATACCTTCATTTTATTCATCGCTTCTTTTAATTGGTCCAATTGATGAGCAGAGGATAAGGCGTCTAGTCTTATATCTGTCAGTTTCATTTCCTTGTCTCGTAACTGTTTTCTCAGTTCATGAACAGTTTCCTGTTCCCCAGGACCATCAGTATATATTCTGAAGTAATAATTAAATAAATTATAAACATGATTTTTTTTCTCTACATTATTTTTCAATTTTGTTTATCATAACAACAAAAATGGATGTTCAATTAATTGGAATTTATTAAATTGACAGGTAATTGGTCAAAACGCATCACATGATATGTAAATGCCAGATGAATCATGGGTAAAACACCAAATTTTAAAAATAAACTTACGCTGATGTTGATGCTGATGACTTCAATAATGGATTCATGCAGACGTTATGAGGACCACCGTAACTGGGTGACGATGGATTGGAATCTAGATCTTCAACATCCGTCTGAGCACCGCTCTTGTTTTTACTCTTGCGTGAGAAGGCTGATCGGAATGATGTACGTAACTGCTGTGAAAAGACAAATCGGTCGTTTAGCAATACATGTGGGGTTAGTAGAACCAAGTCACAGAAATGAACAGGTAAGAGTATAGTTGTCCAAAATGTAACAGTTTCATGTGGAACTTCTGATTAAAATCATAACATCTCAAAATTGGGGAGATCTGAAACTCATTTGTGGAAAAAAATGAAAAATGCAAACCACTTCATCGTCATGATAGACAATTTACTAATAATTTTATGAGTTAGCAGTACAATTAGGTAGTCACAATTTTACTTCAGCAAAAAACAATGGTAACAGTTTATAATGTATGGCCTCCAACTTTCAGTTACAGTTATTTATAAAATACTAAATTAAACTTCAATGGAACTATTTTCATAAAACTACACTAACCCAACTTTTCTTCTTTTTCTTCATTGACTTTGAGTCACTCAAGTCATTGTCATTGACGCTTCCAACGCTGGATAAACTTGTAAAACTAGTGGTACTTGACATGCTGTCTGTTGATAACTGCCGACTCATTCGAGGCTCAGATATTGCTACATATGAAAAGATGAATGATAAAAACAAATTGTCATTGAAAAACATAGAATTTAAAAGTAAATATTCAATAAAAACAAAAGTATCACATTAATTCAACTGTAGAGGGAAGTATTTAGTAAAAACAAAAGCATTACACTGATACAGCTTGAGGGCACACTGCTCGATTATGAATCGAGACAAGAAAACAATTTATTTTGATAATATAAGCTAAATTTATTAAATGAATCTTTTCTACAGCAACATCAAACCATTAATATAGAAACAGCAAGTTACATTATTATGTTTTTTTAATTTTTTTTAAATGTGGTTTTTTGTTTTGTGTCTACAAAAATAAAATAACTCACCTCTATCTTTTATTGACCTCCTGCCGAGTGTTGCATCTCCTGGAAGTCCAATCAACTGCCTGCTCTCAGCACTCTGCTTTTTCAACGCTTCTATGGTCTCTCTCAGATCTCGTAGTTCGGAATCCTTTTGGTCTGCTGTGCTTGTCAAAGACTGTAACCTATTGGTCATGCTAGATAAACTCTGCTCGAATGCTGCCACCACATGAGCCTATTAAGAAATAAAACAAGAAGGCCATCAGTTTTAATAGTACATTTTCAAATTTTGACACCATTAAACAATCTTGCCTCCATTGATGAAAATATTATCAGCATTAACCCTTATCAAGTCGATGTAAATGTAAACGACAGGATAAGAAGTAAAGATGACAATTTGAGACAATTACTGAAAATGTTGTTTTGAACAATATCTGGTAGACTGAATGGGGCATAGATTCACAGTTTCCATGACGACAAAATCACAACGTATGGAAATATTCGGTAGCCAGTTTAACCTGTTACTGCGCAATTTTATTCTATAAAACTGTTACGCACACAAGTACATTGAAGACGGTATACACTTTTATGTTTCATGAAAAGTTGACACCAGTCAGCAGCTTTTCCAGTTTACTCGCTTACTGTAATACCCACTAATTATTCCAATGCATCCACACCATTGCGTACTACGGAATATAAATAGATATTTGTGCCCGAGGGCAGCGGATAATGTCACGCAAATGTGAAAAAGTTCAAATACCCATTCAGGCTGTAATATTTTTTTCACATTCTTCTCATGTGGTAATAATGAATTTACTCGCTAAAACAAAATGCAGCCAACTTTAGCAACCCTGTGAACGCAATACTGCAGAAATGGCAATAATGTTTAATAAATGTATGAGCAAAACGACCTTCATGTTGTCCTTTTAACTGTGTATTCCAGAAAATATCAGCTGATTCCTAGCCCCACCCCATCTAAGTCAAAGTGTGAGTTCTTATCCGTTTCATAGACATTCTGCACACTATTTACACCAAAGATTCCTTATCGGGACTTGATAATCTCACTAAATTTCGCTTGCCACTTATCTAACCTCCTGGATCGTTGAAAAATGCACAGAAGCAAGTTTTTGAAGTAGAGCAATGACAAGTTGAACTGATCTGTGTATACCACACTTGCAATCATCACTCAATAAAAAGAACAGATTCCATGCCTTTGGTGGTAGAATCTATTTTAGTGCGCTACTGTGACGTTCATAGCGATAGAAGTGAAACTGAACAGATCAAAAACAGAGACACACTGTCCCATTTCTATGTTACTGAGAGAAGTAAACTTATGGATGATACCCCCTGGATAAAAACTACAAACTGTGAAGGATAATAAACAATGCTTTTAAGCTAATGGATCCCCGTCAGGTCATGCTACCGGCATGTACAGGACTGGGACTGTTTAGCATCTTTTCACTCAGTTGGCAAACGGATGCCTCTGTAAAATCTTATCAATACAGTGACTTATTCAGCACCACACCCTTTAAGTACAAATCAATTAATTTCTACTTTTTTTAGCTTCCTAAAAAGTATTTTAATTCTGTCTGCACAATTATGAGGTCAGACATAACCGGCGTTGCAGTTTGTACTGTCTGGCCTCTTAATGACAAAATTCAGAAAAGAACATCGCAAAATGTGATTGCGTTTGAATACCACGGAGATAACAGATAATGACATCAATAGTATAATGTTGTATATGGTAATCAGAGTGGTTGTCATGGTAATGAGATGTATTGGTGTTTCACCTAGGCATATTGTGAGGGAATGTCGCATAGATTCTAGGCATTAACGTATAGGCATGCCACATACATTCTAGGCATTAGTGAAGAGAGATTTATTGTAAGTGGTTAGTAGTGAGCGGTATATTGCATACATTCAAGGCATTGGAGGAGTTGTATGCGAATGGAATGCCACTTAGATTCTAGGCATTAGTGGAGAGATTTATTGTAAGTGGTAAGTGATTCGTAGTGAGCGGTATATTGCATACATTCAAGGCATTGGAGGAGTTGTATGCGAATGGAATGCCACTTAGATTCTAGGCATTAGTGGAGAGATTTATTGTAAGTGGTAAGTGATTCATAGTGAGCGGTATATTGCATACATTCTAGGCATTGGAGGAGTGTATGCAAATAGAATTCCACTTAGATTCTGGGCATTAGAGTTTTATGCAAATGGAGTTTCACTTAGATATTAGGCATTAGAGGAGTGTATGCAAATAGAATTCCACTTAGATTCTAGGCATTGGAGGATTGTATGCAAATAGAATTCCACTTAGATTCTAGGCATTAGAGTTTTATGCAAATGGAATTTCACTTAGATATTAGGCATTAGAGGAGTGTATGCAAATAGAATTCCACTTAGATTCTAGGCATTAGAGGAGTTTTATGCAAATGGAATTCGACTTAGGCCAACTTTACAGGCATGTAAATTGCTATAAATATTTGACAACTTCATTTGGTTTTATTGCAGTGTACGATTAATGTTTGATCACATGGGGATTACTGCTAACTGAATTCTGACATCATTAACATACAAATCACTGCTATTAATGACATCACAAATCAGACAAGACAACCTATATACTGATCAAAACACCAACAGGTTCTGTCAATCTGGTTTAAAATTACACACAAATTAAGAGAGAATTACAGAAAATGTATTTAACACTTTTGATCAAAACTGTAGTCGATATCAAATTTTGTCAGTTTGGTTAGAAATTTACATAAACATTTTTTACAGAAACCTCTCCTTAATGCATCGATGCATGAATCAAACAAAATGGCCAACATGAGAATGATAAATTGCCGCTTCAATCTAACTAATCTATTTGTCTGAGATTTAGGATCACAAATGACCCCCTTGTCACATTCAGTTTTTCTCCGCTTGATCTCCGACTTAGTGTAATTCATTGAACGGTGGAAAATGAAATCACTCTACACAATCATTATTCATCAAAATGTCGTCTGCAAGTCTCCTAATCATCGCTGCTTGATTACTTTTTTCAACCAAATTTTACTCATGCAAAAAAAAAATGTTTTGTGATAAAGTCAAACATTACTACATGAAACATAGTGAAACTATTATAACCTTGCCCATAAGATACAAATATATTAAAGAGGTTGAAATTTGTGAAAGAACGAAAATAGTTTTGACAAGGGTGTTTCTGAAACGCTCATATTTTCTTGTAATGGCCAGGTCAAATTAAATATTTTGTTAAGATGTGTTTTGGTCAATAAAATGTCAGGTTAAAGGTTGCCATGGTTTTGTTATGACGTATATGTAATTTGGCAGCGCAGCCATCTTTCGCTCAAAATAGTACTGTTGATTATTTTTAACCTTTTCACCACCAGACTTTCTTGCCAAAATATTTCTGCACTTTTTTTCTTATATTTTTCAGAATAAACCCTAATTTTTGAGCCAACAGACAACATTTTAGTCAATTTTCGGTTTTGACTCAAAAAAATTGGCTATTTTGTCCTAATCTTTCGAAAGAAAATACAGACTATAAATGGGACTATTTTGTGAATTTGTGATAAGAGGGAACTGGTGGTGAAAAGGTTAAAGTGCTGTAGTTGTCGCGCTGTGCATGTGTGACATTGTGTTGATAAACATTGATTTTCCCATAATCCAATGCGCTCTTCAAATGGAAATCACAAGTATGAGGTTTGACCTGGGCGCAACTTGCACTAATTACCGCCGGTGACTCCTTCAATACCTTCCAATCACATGAAAATTACCTAATTACAGCTTGAAAACGTGTCAGTTCGTACTCGTTGATCTGCACAACAGTCAAGGTCGCCATCTTTGTTTATATGAGACCCATATATCTTGCACATGTGCAGCGCGACGACTAACGTACCGCCCTTTAAAGATGTACTCCTATTTTGCATATATGTAAAATCATGACTGATAATAACAACATAAATGATGCTGTTTCCCTTTACAAAAAAAGTACCAGTAATAAAAATTGATATCGTGCTCACTTTCTCACACATTTCATTTTGAGGGTGCTGGAGGTTCTTATCCCTCTAATCATATCTGCCATGTAACAGACCTTCAAGGACAAACAAGCCAAAAACTCAGAGTGTCTATTGTTAACAAATCTAGCTTAATTTCAGAGGATCACTTAGAATCACAATCTGAACATGTTACGGTAGATATATTGATCACTGGATGGTATCTCACAGATGTACAATCCTGCAACTTCAGTACCACGCAAAGATATTTAAAATATTTTAATATATTTTAAATATGTTAATAATTGGAGCTACAGATAACTGACAACTTTTAGGCTCAATCAATGTCTTGTATTAATTTATTCAACTATACATTAGCATAACAATGAAAACAATAATCATTTTGAGGTTTCTGGCATTTTCTGACAATCATCAAGAAATTTAAAATACAGATAACATAAATGTGGAAAGTGTAAGAAATGTTTTGCTATGCGGGACAAGGTACAAACAAAAAGAAGAAAACCACCAAAGTGTTTTGATAAATGCGCAACTACATTTGTAATCAATTACCAGACTAATAAGAAGATAACTTTATATCTAGATTTAATATCCTTTAATTCTCCAATAAGTTGAGAGATGATTTGCAAGGATTTGTTTTTAGCTGGCATCACGTCAACCATTAATCTTGTCTCATAGCAACCACTCTCATTATCTTTATATAATATTGCATATTGTATCAGTCACAAAAATTCAAATTTTTCCATGGGGCATTAAAAAAAGTCCACATTTCAATGTTGATGTTGGTTATAACAGTATTTTTCCAATTTTAAAAGGTCATATTTTTTAATCAGCAAATAAAATCTTGAAGAATATCGCTATGGCTACTTGACATCTTTTTCCGGCAGTTGGTGAAAAAAATCTGAGATTGGTTGCAGTTGATTCGGTTAAATCCCTTCCCGAAGGCATTCTTTTCATGCTAAGTAATTTCTTGGAAATACAAGAATTTGCTTCAATACCATAATCTGTTTTGCTACAAGGCCATGTCTTAAACTTAGATGTAATGAAAGTCTAATAGGATTAAAATTTCACAGAATTTGTCATTCAGGCGGTAACTTTTGTGAAAAATCGGTAATCAGGATAGCTTTTAGTTTTGTCAACATGATGGATATTGTTTTTTAATTCTCAAGTGACCTGTTTTTCTCAGATAGGAAGAATTTACTGTTTTTTTGAACTT